ATAAGATCACATCATCTGTATACAGGGATAATTTTACTTACTTTTTCAATTGGGATGCCTTTTGTTTCTTTTATTTAATAGTTGCCTGATTGCTGTAGCTAGCAATTAGTACAGTCGTCTAGTACTTTGTTGAATAGGGATGGCAAAAGCAGACATCTCTGCCTTCGTCCTGATCTTAGAGGAAAAGTTTTAGTCTTTCACCTTTATGGTATGATGTTGGCTGTGGGTTGTTCATATGTGGCTTTTATCATGTTGAGGTAGTTTTCCTCTATTCCTAGTTTGTGGAGTTTTTTTTTTTTTTTTAATCATAGAAGGACATTGAATTTTTTTCAAACATTTTCTTCTGGCATAATTGAGATAATTATGGGGCTTTTCCCCTTCATTCTGTTAATGTGGCCTATATCATTGATCAATTTTTGTGTGTTGATCATTCTTTCATTGAAGGACTAAATCTCCTTTGGCCAAGGTGTATAATCCTCTTAATACGCTGTTAAATACACTAGCATTTTGTTGATGATTTTTACACTAATGTTTATAAGAAATAATGGTCTATAGTTTTCTTTTTCTTGTGTCTTTGGCATCAAAGTAATGCCTCATAGAATTAGTTAGGAAGTGTTGCTTCTTCTTTATTTTTTTGGAACAGTTTCAGAAGAATTGCTATTAGTTCTTTAAATGTTTGTTAGAATTCACTAGTGAAGCCATCAGATCCTGGGCTTCTTAGTTGTTGTTGAAAGATTTTTGATTACTGATTCAATCTCCTTGCTAGTTATAGCTCTATTCGGTTTCTATTTCTTTGTGATTTAGTCTTGGTAGGTTTTGTGTTTCCACAAATTTGTCCATTTCATCTAGATTTCCAATGTGTTGTCATACAATTGTTCATAGTACTCTCTTATGGTCCTTTTCATTTCTGTGGAATCGGTAGCAATGTTCCCATTTTCATTTCTGATTCTATTAATTCGAGTATCCTTTTTTCTTAGTTCATCTATCTAAAGGCTTGTCTGTTTTGTCAGCCTTTACTAACAGCCAACTTTTGGTTTCATTGATTTTCTTCATGGTTTTTCTAGTCTTTTTTTCATTTATCCATGTTTATTTTTTCCTTTGTTCTGGCAACTTGGGTCTAGTGTATTCATTTTTTAGCTCCTTAAGTTGTAAAATGAAGTTGCTGATTTGAGATATTTGTGTTTTTTTTTAATGTAAGCATTTATAGCTATACATTTTAATCTTAGCACAACTTTCACTGTGTCCCATAAGTTTTGGCAGGTTGTGTTTTGTTTTCATTAATTTCTAAGACTTATTTTTTGACCTACTGGTTGTTTAAAAGTATGCTGTTTAGGCTGGGTCTGGTGGCTCATGCCTGTAATCCCAGTACTTTGGGAGGCTGAGGCGGGTGGATCACTTGAGGTCAGGAGTTCAAGACCAGCCTGGCTAATATGGTGAAACCCTGCCTCTACTAAAAATGAAAAAAATTAGCAGGGAGTGGTGGTGTGCGCCAATAGTCCCAGCTACTCAGGAGGCTGAGAGGCAGAAGAATCTCTTGAACCTAGGAGGTAGAGGTTGCAATGAGCCAAGATCCCACCACTGTACTCCAGCTTGAGTGACAAAGTGAGACTCTGCCTCAAGAAAAAAAATAAAAGGCATGCTGTTTAATTTTTGAATATTCCAGTTTTATTTCCATTATTGACAATTAACTTCATCCCATTGTGGTTGGAAAAAATACTTTGTGTGGTATCCATCTTTTAAAGTCATTGAGACTTAACATGGGGCTAACATAATGGCCTGTGCTGGAAAATGTCCCTGTGTGCTTGAGAAGAATGTTTATGGTATTGTTATTGGGTAGAGTGTTCTGTGTAGTCTGTTAGACCTAGTTGGTTTATTGTGTTAAGTCTTCTGTTTTCTTACTTATCTTCTGTTTGGTTGTTCTATCCATTATCAAGAGTGGGGTATTGAAGCCTTCTACTATTATTGTAGAACTATCTGTTTCTCCCTTTAATTTTGTCAGTTTTTGCTTCATGTATTTTATGACCTGTTATTAGGTACATAAATGTTTATAATTATTACATTTTCTTGGTGTATTAAATCTTTTATTAATATATAATGCCCTTCTTTATCTCATAACTTTTTTGATTTAAAGTCTATTTTGTATGATATTAGTATAGCCACTTCTGCTCTCTTTTGTTTACTATTTGCATAAAATATCTTTTCCACCCTTTTACTGTCAATGCATTTGTGTCTTTGAATCTAAAGTAAGTCTCTTGTACTAAGCATATACATAGTTGAATCATGTATTTTTATCCATTCTGCCAATCACTGGTTTTTATTAGAAATGTTTATCCACTTACATTTAAATTAGTTACTGATAAGGAGAGGCTTTCATCATTTGGCTCTTTGTTTTGTATATACTTTATAGCTTTTTTTTGTTTCTCATTTCCTGCATTGCTACCCTCTTTTGTATTTAGTTCATTTTTTTTTTCATAGTGAAATGTTTGAATTGCTTTCTCATTTCTCCTTGTGTGTATTCTACAGCTATTTTCTTTGTGGTTGCCATGGGAATTAAATTAACATCCTAAAGTTATAACACTCTAATTTGAATTTATACCAGTTTAACTTTAATGGCATAGAAAAACTCTGTTCCTTTACATCTCTAGCCCTACTCCTTTCAGTTATTAATGTCAAATAATTACATCTTTACACACTGTATTCCAAAAAAGGAAAAAAGAAAAATGAAGCATGTGGGGAGAACCCTTTTAATCTCCTGGAAGTCACTTCCTTTGGTGGGGGAGGGGCTGACAGCAATGGGTGAAGGTGCAGCAACAATGGCTGCCACATTTTTTGTCTGCTCCTCCGTGATCAGAAGCAGCAATTAGTGATCCAGGGTCAGATTTCTGATATTTGGAGGACAGGGTTCTTTTTGCCCATCCTGGCTCATATAAGCTGTGTTCAGGTCCCTCCTGGAACATGTGCACAGCTGCCTGCAATGGGCCTGGGTGTAGGGGATGGGTAGCTATCACTGTGCTAAGAGCTGAAATGGACCGAAATTAACTGCAATTTTACCATCTAAGCCTTCCTCTGGAAGTTGCAAACATTCCATAGATTCCAGAGTTCCATCCATTGAATTACATCAAATTCTGCCAGTGCAGAAAGATAGTAGGATTAACAAACCCTCTCCCTACAGAAAGCCTTGTTGCAATAGGTTTCTGCGAATATCTATCTGTAACACTAACCACTTGCTCAAAACAAAGGCCTCATCTGCATAGAGGAACTCATTTCTACCTTGCTAAATCTGAAAGCATTCAAGACTGACATCTACATTTTTATTTTCTACTAAATGCACTCTACTTACTAAACTCTGATCTATTCACTATTCAACAGGTTTTAAAAGTCAAGATACTAATCAGTTTTAGACTTTGAAATTACATGGGTTTCTTTGGACTATTTAGAAATTCATTAGCAATGACAGAATTTACATTTCAGAGGTTTGGAGGATATAAATCTAACATTTTAGATTTTTGACCTGGCTCTGAAAGAAATCTTTTCATGAGATTCCTAATGATTGATTTATTCCTAATATTGGTCATGCAGTAGATCGTTTTTTGTTTCCAAGGTTAAAAATCAGATTTATATTTTCAGTCTAAAATTCCTGGTTGAGGTTCTATATGTGGACCTAAAAGCCAGCTATACCTTAGCCCCTGGGCTCAGATCATTTGTTGTTATCAAAAGGGTGGACAAGGTTAAAAGCCTACTTTCTACCCAAAGGGAAAGCTTGCAAATGGAACAGATCTCTGATGTGCTCTTTGGTCTATCTGTTCTCTACATTGGGCTTTGAAACGGTAACCTTAACGTGAGCAATATGCTGCTGGAGCACAATTTGTATGCAAATGAATTGAGAGAGATTTATTACAGATTCAAAATGAGTTCTCCCTGATATTGCAGTGAAAGACTTGATAATGTCTTAGCAACCTTAAGTACAAACTAGCCATCTGAAAGCAAAGGTAGGAAAAGCATCTGCCCTTCTCTCAGGTTATATGAGTTGAAATCTTTCAGTTTCTGCCTTCGTGGTAGTAACAATTTTTTCATATTCAATATTTATTGCTGTAACATAACCAATCTCTGCTTATTAGGGCACATAAACTATCTTACCGTTTTCCTCCCCCTGCTTCTGTATACTCCTAGGCTCTACAGAAACAGTGAGCTGCTCCAGTTTGTAGTTCATTCAAATAGCTCTAAGACTGTCAAATCTGATAATTTTGGACAAAGTGAGTGGGTTAAAATAGTTGAAAATGAACCAAACTTTCAATCAGATGTGATTTGAGTGTACAGTGCTATAGTTTAGTTGTAATAGAAAGTATGAGAGCTTAAAAGGCTCAGAATAATTCAGATAAAATTATCTTGGGGTCTTTTTCCATTTTAAAGTGAATCGAGCAATTCTGTGTGCTTGAGGATTGACAGCATAATGGCAACAGAGCAAACTGCAGAATTTATCACCAGGTAACTGCATTAGCAGCAAAACTCATAATGCAGTCTGTTGGTGGAAAAGAGCATGAAGGAGCCTTCTATTTTCTTATGAGGTGCCATATGTTCATAGTTCTTGGCCAATTATATTTAGCTACTGCCGAATTACAGTTATTGGAAAATGCTCTCTACTCTATAGTCTTTCACAATGTAATGACAGGCCTCATAGATAGTGACTCTTCTTATATAATTTGTTTATTAGCATAGATAAACATACTCAAAACTGCTTTCTAACACTGCCTTCTATTTATGATATATCTATAACACCAGATATTGCTGTGTAATAGCAATCCTGAACATTTCTATGTATTTCTAAGGATTGACTACATGTTAAATTGGTGGGCAAATGTTTCAGTAATCTTTGAAACTTTTATATTTCACAGTAACTCTTTTTTAGATAGAATTTTTTTGTAGGATAAGATGCATAGTACAAATGTTATAGGCAGTTCTTATATAACATTCAGGTACGTTCTTGTTCATGTTTCACTTACCAGGATCAAGAGGCAACTTGAGGCCAGTTTTGTGTGCTCAGGGATGGTAGAAAACACTGACAAAATCAAGCAACCAAAGACAAGGAGAAAACTGTAAAACAACAAAAAAGAGAAATCTGATAAGAACCTTGCTTTATTATCACAGACTTAATTTCTTGCTTCAAATGAATAAAGCACCAGGCCCATTAAATTAGCACATATTAAGTCATAAAAACTCTGGAAGGGACTAGCCATTTTGGATATTAAAATACAGTATGATATACAGTGCAAATGGGGCTCCTCTGCAACTTTATTGATGAAAAAAAGGTTGTGTTTGTGAGTTTGTGTGTGGCATGCTGCATTTAAATGTTAACATCTAAGAGTTTGTGAATTTCCCACACAACTTCCTTCCCAAACAGCGATCCTGAGAGAGGCCCAGAAAGTATGTTTTTGCTCTCCTATCTGGGGAGCACACGCCACAGTCACTCTTCTTTTAAAGGAGCAGAGTCTGTCTCCTGTTTGGCAACTTTGCTAAACTATCAAGTGTCCTCGTTGGCTGATACTGAGCCACCAGCTTATTTTCAGGGTCTGATATTGCTCATGGATTCTCATTTGCTATTCCTTTATGTTATTAATAATAAGATCATATATTAATAAAAAGAATAGAAAAGGAAGTGAATGATTTCCTCTGCTATCCATGCACTTTCGATTTCCTTTTAGTCAAACTGCGGGATAAATGACTTCTTAGCTCTGCCTATTCATATATAAGGATAAGGAACAGAAGTCAGGATCAGGCATTGTCTACCAATTAATCTACAGACATTTTTATTCCTATAAATGTGTAACTTCTAGGATCAAGGCGGGAGCTGAGTTTCCAAGGAAAATGTCTACTAAAAGGGAAGGTTCTGTTTCAAAGTTGAAGTTACTTATTTGAAAGGCAGGATTAAAAAACAAAAAACCTGAGCTACTTGCTCTAGGCTATATTTTTTACTTTTGTTCATCTCTGGGAAATTCATACAGTAAGCTGTTTTAAAATACCAAGTTTCTATGCTCCTCTGGATGATGGTAAAGTTAGTCCCTGACTCCTCCTTGCTTCCCCTGAAAAGTCTTACAAGACTTACTACCATACTTGATTGGAAGTTCCCAAAGGTCAGGGTTTGGGCAGTATAGCCAGAGTTTGGTTAATTATGCCTACAGGACAAATCTGGCTCCTAATGCCTGTTTGTGTAAATAAAGTTTTATCAGCACACAGTCACACTCATTCATTTATGTATTGTCTATGACTGCTTTCATGCTATGATTGCAGAACTGAGTAGTTACAACAGGGACAGTAAGGCCCACAGAAATGTTTGTTGATTTCACCTCATCTATTCCTTGTTTCCTTATATTTATCTCAACATGTTTTCTATGCTGATAATAATGACTAACATTCATAGAGTGGTTCCTATAAGCTGGACAATGTGCTAAGCCCCTTTTAAATGCATTCTCCTCATTCTCCTTATATTATCCATTATCTCTATGTTATCCCCAGAAATCTATGGGATACAAAATATTATAATCCCCATTTTCCAGATATGAAAACTGAGAATTAACATTTGTAGCTCATCCAAGGATGTGTAGCAGAAAGAGAATCTAAGCACTGTGTAGTCTAAGCCTCTACACAGTGCTGCTGAATAAGTATCAGAGATAATGGTGGTAACATTCTCAGCTCAGGCAGACACTTCTCTATCTCCTCAAACTGAGAGGGAAGGGGTTGCCATTCTAAACGGAAGAAGTCTCCAAGAGGAAGGAGTCTGCTAGTGAAAAAAACCTAGTACGTGATGTTAATGATTCATCATGCTTTTTTATTTCTCATTTAAATTTTTTTAGAAATAGGGTCTTTCTCTGTTGACCAGGCTAGAGTGCAGTGGTGCATTCATAGCTCATTGTAACTTTAACCTTGAACTCCTAGAGTTCAAGCCATCCTCCCACCTCAGCCTTCTGAGTAGCTGGGACTATAGGCACAGGCCAGCAGGCCTGGCTAATTTTAAAAAAATTTTTTTGTAGGGACAGGGTCTCACCATGTTACTCAGGCTGGTCTTGAACTCCTGGTCTCAAGGGATCCTCCCAACTCAGCATCCCAAAGTGTGTCTGGCATCATCCTACTTTTGATTCATGCATCTAATGATTCAGGATACTGTGGATTATATTTTAAGTTGGTCCTAATGGACTAAAATTTGTAAACTAGTGGTCAAAATCCAGTGCACCTACCTGACCCCCAAGCTACAAATGAGAAAGTGAAATACAAGGATTGCTAAGGTAGTTGGGAGGATGATGTGGCATCAGATGACAGTGATAGATGTTCTCCTCTGGCGAGTAGCCATTATCTGGATACTCTCTCCGCTTCCCCACCAAGTCCAGGTTTACCAGAAAACACTTGGAAAATGAGCAGGAGATTATTTAATCATTAAGATATTTTCCTCCTTTGAGAGCATCTCAGTGACAGTTTTATAATCTCTATGTCTGTGTTCAAAATACACCTTATTGCTAGTTTCTTCTTCATCAATATTTGAATCCTAGAAGGAGGGTACAAAATGTGAAAGGCAGCAAGTCAGAAAACTAATGAGGCAAGTTATTTGCTCTCTGTTTCATGGAACAAGAATTATCAAAGTTTGCAGAACAGGGTGAAACAGGTGGCTGAACTGGGAGTCTGGAGCCAAGTGGAGGAGAGGCTTCTAGGGCAGAGTCTGCATTTAGTTCAGTAGAAAATGGGGAGCCATTGAAGATTTCTGGACAGGATAAAAGGGTCATCAGAGTTGCCTTCTGGGAAAATTTAAGTTGGCAGCAGTGTGTAAAGAATGGATCTGAGTCGTGAGAGGCAGGAACAAGGGTAACAGTGAATCCAGGTTAGGCTGTAAATGAACATAGTAGAAATGAGAATGGAATAAAGAGGGAGACTGAAGGGATGCTGTAAATTGAGGAGCAGAGTCTGGAAAGTGGGTGTGGTGGCTGGAAAGTCTGAGATGACCATACAAGTTAGGAGAAGAAAAGTCAAAGTCAGAAGGAGAAACTGGTTTTGGGGAGAAGAGGATAAATCTAGTTTTAGACATCCAAGTGGAAATGTGGATTTAAATCTCAGGTACAAATTCTAGCTGGAGATATGGAAGTATTTTCCACCCCCCCAGAAGAAGTAAATGTATGGAATATGTTATCCTGACAGCGCAGACAAAGCATATAAAGTTTTGGTAAATAAGCATGGAGGATATTCTAGAACCACTTGTTTCATTTGGCAAATGACATCATGGAGAACAATGAACACATTCTGCTCTGAATTAGCTGTTGGTACCATTGCCAGAGGCAGACTTTCTGGCTGGAGAAAACACTGAACTGACACAGAGTGACCCCTCTAAGGTGACAGTGTTCAGATGTCGGGCTCATTGGCAGTGACATAGTGGGGTTTGTGTGTAGTTCTGCTGACACCATTGCTTCTGAGGATCCCGTGCATGCTGATGACTGACCATGACCCCAGTGCACCCCTCTGGTGGTTGAATACAAGTAGAAGCAGAGGCAAGAGTCACTGGGATCAGACTATCCTAATGTGGAGTCCATGGTTCTCTAGGGGATCTGTGTATAAAATTTAGGGGGTTGTGAACATAGGGGGGAAGAATTATGTGTTTATCTTTCACTAACCACGGCAATAGATCATGATGGTATTAGCAGTACTTGTGACTTTGTTGCTCACAAAAATGACAGATTTTAAAATCCCATTTTACAGTTGTAGATGAAACCCTAATTGTTTCATCTTGAATATTGATTTTGCTCATCATTTCAAGATTATGCAGCAATTAGCCCCACTGCTAGGGGTTGTTTATAATGAAGAAGCATATGCATCGCCATATTGCAAATTTGTGTAATGTTTTAATAATAGATTTCAACATATTTTTTCCTTTTGTAGTCACATATATTTGAGGAATGGTTCATCGTTTCCACAAGATTGCCAAAGTGCCCATGACACACATAAAAATTAAGACATCTGTAATTGAGAATTGGTAAGATGGGGCTGGAAGAGGGACCATTTTTGCACCTGTCAGTTTTATGATCAGTTTAAAAAATATGAATGTTTTTCCATGTATATATTAATCCTGACGTATCAAAAGATGGATGTTCCTTCAAAATTAGTCTGGAACAGCTATTGGCCTTTATTTTGCCTGAAACAGTCATTTATATTTTGTTTCTGAGGAAATTCATTTTGATCTAGATCTTTTATCCAAAACTTTTTATTTGGAAGGCACTGATTATTGTAAGACAAAAAGAAGGAAATTTATGAAAAATTTAAATATTACCAGCTCAAAGGACTCTATGTTTACTCAAGAAAACTATCATCAGCATTTCTTGTGGGTTAATTAAGAATCAATTTGTCAGATTTAATTTGACAAAAAGCTTGACTTGGGAATCTCATGGGTGCTTGTATAACAGATGATGTCTAGCTTCCAGAACTAGTGCATCAAGCACAGATTCATTTAGAAAGAATGAAAATGATGTGAAAATAAAACATTCAGAAAAGCTCTGCTGAATGAACCATAGCAAGTTACCCCATTGTCATGCACACAAATGCACAATCCCCAGGCACTCACAAACAATTGTGAATGATGCAATGAAGAAAGGAGAAATGGAACTGAGGTTTAAAGTAGACATCTCCCTGAACTTAGCGTGATACAACAGGCAAATCAACAGAGTAGGCTTTGCTGATTGAAGCAACCACACGTTTCCACCTAGAAGGTGCTCTCTGCAAGCATTTTGGCAGACTATAAGCATTCCATGGCATAATGGCCCATGTAAGTTAGTTATACTTATTAAGTTTTGAGGGAGGGGAGATCTTAAATTGTTTTTTTTTTTGGTTTTTGAGATGGAGTCTCACTCTGTCGCCCAGACTGGAGCGCAGTGGCATGATCTCGGCTCACTGCAAGCTCCGCCTCCCGGGTTCATGCCATTCTCCTGCCTCAGCCTCCCGAGTAGCTGGGATGACAGGCGCCCGCCACCACACCCGGCTAATTTTTTGTATTTTTAGTAAAGATGGGGTTTCACTGTGTTAGCCAGGATGGTCTCGACCTCCTGACCTTGTGATCTGCCCGC